CATTGTGCTGGCTCCTACTCACTGCAGCGGTTACAAATCTGTATTTTCCTTTGCAAGAATGACTATTAATTATGGTCTAAAAACAGCTGCTCAAAAAAAAATATCAGTCTACCTAATCACCAAAGATAGACACATAGACACATGGTAAGTATGAACTAGGTTCACTGGATGCAGACACACAATAATTATTAAATGGGGTCCCTCAATATATGGTCCTAATTGACTGAACCATAGTAGGATTTAAGGATGAACCATTGTAGCTTCCTTCTAGAAGAAGCACAAGTTAATAACTCAGTAAAATTTTCATAAAAACATTACAATCAGTAAAAGGGATGTGAGGAATCATGAAACCTATACCAGTACACTGTCAATACTACTAAGAGACCTGGTCATTTTAACATGCTAATGAAACCGACGCTTAGCACTAAGGCGAAGGAGAAGGACAAGGGAAGGAAAGCAAGGGGAATCTGGTAATGTGTTGGCTTCTATTCATTGCAGCAGTATATAATATTGTATTTTCCTCTGTAAGAACATAGTACTAATTATTCCATCAAAAAAACACATTGTACTAATTATGATCCAAAACAGATACTTGCCGCTCATCATCAAGGTAGACACACATAATGTGAAATACATCCACTAGATTTAGACAATGGACACATGGTAACAATGAAATAAGCTCAGTTTTTCAAAATTGACCAAACCTTAAGATTAAAGACGTACTACTCTCCCCTGTAGAAAGTTGAAACCCTAGATGATACTAAGCCAAATTTTCATAAACAAATTATAATCCTAAAAGGGGTGTCAAACTGCAGGGTGCTGCTAAGAAAGATTAAAAAATCTAGGCCATGCTCAACATTCATCCATAAATTTTTTTCATCATAGTGATTTCACATTTAGACATTGTCATCAAACCAACAGTTACAACATATGATAAATCATTTTTAACTCAGTTAGAACAACTATAAGCCATAATAATGTCTTAAAATTCCAAATTATTGTAAAGGGCATATGAACATTAGTTTCCTATTATAATCAAATGCATCTCCTGGACATAAGCTTCATTTTTTTTTCTTGAATCAGAGAGACATCAAGAAGCCCCACTTTTAGGTGGAAAAGTGGAGCTTTGAACATAAAATTTAAACATATTCCACTACCCAAACCAAAATAATACATTTTACAGACTGAACTCTCACCTGAATCACGGGACTTTTGCGCTGTGAATCACTGAATCATCGTGCTGTCCGCTCTCATGCCTGCAAACTGGCCTTTATCGTTTGTTTGGTTGCTGCGAAAATTGTAGGGTTTAGGATGACGGAAATATTTTAAAAGAAAAACTATTTTTTTTTAAATTAAAAAAAAAAATTGTTTGAATTTTCTTTAAAAAATGTTTGCATTCCGGAAAACATTGGATGACCATTTACAAAATGATAACATTGGAGGATGACAGGAATTAAAATTTTTTTATTCGGATAGTAAAAAATTTAAAAGAAGGCGGGGTTTGAGTAAAGGTTTTATAAGGAATATTACAGTTATAATATTATATAAAATTATAAAAATTATATAATTTTAAATAAATATTAAATAAGTAAATATTTATTATTATAAATGAATTTTTAAAAAATTTAATTATATAATGATATATTATATTATAAAATTATTATAATATTATTTGATATCGTAATTATAATATTTTTAAAGTTTATTTAAGGTTAAAATCTTATTTTGGTCTTTGAACTATTGTACGAGCTTTTGATTTGGTCCCTAAACTAAAAAAATTCTTAATTTGGTCCCTATTGTTTATCATTTTAACCCTGATTTGGTCCTTCCGTTAAATATCCACCTACGTGTCTTGTTACTTGACGGGAAAAGGGTGACATGTCAAATATTAATACACATGGAAGACAATAAGACCACAAAAAATGATGACATGGAAAAAATAATAATATAAAAAAATATTATGAAAAATAAAACTTAAAAAAAAGTTTTTTTTTTCTTTTTCCTTCTCTTTCCTTTTCTCTTTCCCCTTTCCCTACCCCTTCTCTTTCCCCTTCGAACCCAGGCATGCTGGGTTCGCTGCTGGGTTCGATGAAACCCAGGCGTTGGGTTCCAAAAAAAAAAAAAGAAATTTTTGTTTTCTTTGTTTGGGTTTTATTGTTTGATGATATGAGAAATTGATTGATGAAGATGAAGAAGGCAAGGCAGCCGTTGGGTTTTTGCAGGTGCATGAAGATGAAGAAGGCATAGGTGCTGGGTTCCATTTCGAACCCAGCAAGCAATCGAATCTAGCATCGAACCTAGCAGCAGCTGGGTTCCTGCATGTGTTGGGTTCGAAGGTGCTGGGTTTGATTTCGAACCCAGTAGGCACTGGATTCCGTTTCGAACCCAACAATCGTTGGGTCAATGGATCTGTTAAGTTCCATTTGTTTATCGATCTATTGTATGTTGGGTTCTGTTTCAAACCCAGCAGTTGTTGGGTCGGTGGATCTGTTGAATTCGATCTTTTTATGGATTTGTTATCTGTTGTGTTATCCTCATATTCTTGCAGGTGCTGGATTCGATTTCAAACCTAGTAAGTGTTGAGTTTTGTTTCCAACCCAACTGCAGTTGGATTGAAGGATATATTGATTTCTATCTGTTGGTTTATTGTGTTATTCTCGAATTTAATATTAGAAAATGTTAGGGTTTGCAGAAGGTGAAAGGAAGGGGAGAGTAAGAAGAAAGGAAAAAAAGAAAAAAAAAAGAAAAAGAAATTTTTTAAGGTAATTTTTTGCCATCTCATTTTTTTGCCACGCTGTACATCCTAGGTGTCAAAATGTTTTAACATGTCATCCTTTTCTCCGTCAAGTAACAAGATATGTAGGCGGATATTTAACAGAAGGACCAAATCGGAGTTAAAATGGTAAACAGTAGGGATCAAATCAGGGATTATTTTAGTTTAGAGACCAAATCAGGGGTCCGTACAATAGTTCAGGGACCAAATGAAATTTTAACCTTTATTTAAATATAAAAAAACTAAATTTTAGGACATTTCAAGCTCCATTTAATATGATTGTTATTTTAGATTTTTAGTTTTGAATTTTATAAGTTTTGCAATTATAAATAAAAAAACTCATTTGCCTTTACTTATTGTTGTAAAGTATTATTATGATTATTAGAGAAATAAAAATAAAAATAATTTTAATTTAATGCTATTAAACAAGTTTAGTAGTCAATGTTAAAATTTACTTTAAGCAAATTTTTAATTTTTTTGATTTATAGTTTATTTTTCACTAGTTATAAATTTATGAAAACTAAAAAAAAAAAAATTACAATCATACTAAACAAAACCTTTAATCAACAAATTTTGAATAGCTAAAATTGAGATTTAAAATTCTTTATTTTAATTTATTATTACCAAATTATTGATAGCCAAAATTTAAAAAAATGATAATTAACGATAAAATTATCTTAGTGAAAAAAACAAAAACTTACAGCAGTTTAGAAAGTACCAAAAAGGATAAGAACCTCATCTCGTGATCATTTATACATTTTTTTTTTCTAAAAGGACCATTAAGAGGCACTAGTATCACTCATCTTCAGTTGAATATACTACTAACATGGGGTTGATTCTGCTTCTAACCCAGATCACAAGGCTCCACTACTTAAGGTCAAGGAGAAACCAATTAGCAGGCATGTTTAGTCTTTCAACTTCAAGTATTTTTTAGCTTTGATCTCGCATGTCTACAAATCTATAGATGTCTGATCGTTTTTGTTTCTCCAGTGGAAGGCTCTCTCTGCAAGATTTCCAAAACTTTACAAGATCAGTTAAAGCAATAACACTAGCCACTAATTATAGTTTTTACAGCTTGAGAATGAGAAATCTCACCTCCGAAGTTGGATTTCAGAGTAATCAATCTCAGCAACTACCACTGTCTCTTCAGGGCCTGATGTTGCAATTATCTCTCCAAACTGTTCACCACATATCAGCTTGATAATGTCTCTTCATCTAAATGAAATTACAAAAATAGTTTTGCAATCGGGATTGCAAAGTCTAGACCCTTGAATGTGTAAGACTTAACGTGAGTGAGTCCCATTCATTTAAGGGGTATAATGCTGCACCAGATTGCAAAACATTTCTCAAGAAATTATATATAAAACGTTTTGATACCGGTCCAACAACAGTAGAATGTCCCCATATCGTATAGCTAGCTGCAGAATCTCGAGATGGAGAGCAAGTAGCAACAAATAACTACAACAACAGTAAAAACAAAGCTTTAGAAAACCTTTCTTTGAGGGTATTGATAAATAAATACATGGACAACAAATAAATTTTTGTTTTTAGAAGATGTCTCAATAGTTAAGAGTTTGAATTTTCATATTAGAAATCTCAAGTTTGAAATAATGTCGGGTGATGAGGGATTTGAAAAAGAGAAAGTTATCTTCTATTATATAATCTATTATATGATATATTAAAAAAAATAAAAGCTAGAAAATACCTGGTTATCAATCGCCCTGAAATATTGAATAAAAAGTAATGTTAGTAGAGGTAAAGCATGGCAAAACTATGCAGTGGATCTGTATTCAATCAACATAGAAACAATTCATTGATCAAGTCCTCTATTACATTTTCTTTTGTTGGATTCTAGTAGCATTTTTGGCTGTACTACTACGCCGTGAAGACCGAAGTCCTAGAACCCAAGAACATGGCTTTAGAGGAACCAACAGGTATTTCACAGGTGACTATAAATGGCCAATGAACTGTTTGTTGATCAATCTTGAAATTAAGTAAAACACCAGGAGAAAGCGAATAGAGCATGTATGATTCATATAGAACTTCTGTAAAATTAGTGTTTGTAATAAGGTATTTATCAATCTATACCATCTCATCTTGTGGAACATATATGGTTCATATCAAACCAAAAGTCATAAGTAGATAAAAGTTCTGACCTTCCTCGTTGTACAAGTTCCCACAGCAATTCACCAGTACTCATGTTGAAAGCCCCAGGATAGCAGATTAAATGTGCACCTAGAATTTAATTACATGTTAGTTTTGTGAAAAGCAAAAGGATGCCCCAAATAGGGAGAAATTCTATTGTGGGCATATTTCTAACATGGTATCCATATTCAATAGAGCCTTTGCATATCATGCTGAGGTATTATCACAGCATGAGTGACACCCCAACCCCAACATAAGGTTTCTAAAGTGTCATCTTTTTATTGATTGTGATACTTGTAAATTTTGGATTCAGGATACCACATCAGCAATATTCTCGTGACACAGTAGAATTTCTCTTAAACAACCAAATAACATTCTTGTAACATACTAGTAAACCTTTTTCCTTATAGAGCATGGCAAGCTCTGGGAAGCGCATGTCGTGACAAATTCCTATGCCAATTCGTCCAACCTCTGCATTTAACACTCTTATTTAGTTCTTTGCTCCACTGAAAGTGTTGGAAGTGGGATATAAACAATATGGACCATAACATACATATAGTAAGACATTACAAATTTGCAGTAACATGAGATTGGACATTGGAGTAGTGCCGCCTACACTAATTACCTGTGTTGACAATGGTAAGTTCCTCTCCTGCAGCAAAGGAGTCAGATTCCTTGAATGAAAACTTTCCAGGAATGTCAATATCGAATAGATGTATCTGCATAAGCAAACGTTACTTCTAAAAAGTGAAATGAAATCAATTCCTCATACACAACCTTCTTTTAAATCATATATTTGGACTTACTTTCCTGTGCTTAGCCTTCAGCTTTCCATCCGGTCCAAAAACACAGCAAGTGTTATGCAACCTACCACTGCACCACTCAGGCATTGACCCTCCTACAATGGTGATTCTATAACAAGAAGCAACTTCTGATAACATTTTAAAAGACGGTGATGAATCCTCATGACTAAAATCCTCAGCAAACTTAGCAAAGTAATCAGATGAGCAAGGACAGTTCCACATTTCCTATTGCAAAACAATTGAAAAGGCATTAACCCATTAATCCTTAGGCGTATTGCCTCAACTTGTGTTGGTGCATCAAGCGAAAAATCAAAAATCAACTCACAGGTAAAACAACTAGCCTTGCGCCTTGATCAACAGCAACTTTCATGGAGTTCCGAGCATGGATAATATTCTGATTCTTGTCTGAACTGACTGATAGCTGACAGAGGCCAATTTTGAACTGCACAAATTCAGAGCTCCATGTATTAGTTCAAATTTTGCTAAAGATTTTTCAAAATTCATGAATTTATACAAAAAAAAGCAATAATGGAATTATAGGAATCAAACCTTTGAAGTAGTCAAAGGAGGCAAAGAAGGAAAGCAGAGGTTTGTTGATGAAGTGGCCATATCTTTACACAAGGAGGAGGCAAGCAGGCAGTAGGTCTGTACTTATGACTTTTGTGCACTGCAAACTTCACCATCATGTGCTGTATACTTCGATATATGAGATTGGTACAGCTGTTGCATCTTAAAATAATAATAATAATAATAATAAAAGATTGGATACGTGGGGATTGAACTTGGAAGGATGGACTAATCAAGTGCAATTTATAAATCCCATTTTAATGACCTCTCGTTGTGTTCCATTGATGTCTACCACTTCAAGACAAGGAATGAAGCTTCATTCGATAAAATAAAGTTTTCTCATATATAAAGAAAGGTTAATTACTTTCAATTGTTGAATCAACAATTAAAAAGGTGTTTGATATAATTTATAGTTAGTAATTTCATTTCATTTTTCAAAATTTTTACAGAATTATATTTACTGATTCAAAAACTTTTATTTAAAGTCAAAACTAAAAGTTTAAACTTCCATAATGTTAACTAACTACCCGTATAATGTATAAAAAAATAATTTTATCTAATTTAATAATTAATAATTAAAATTTAAACACATTAATTTATTAAATTAGATGAAATCATTGATCGCTAACTTTAAATTGCAATATCAAACCCTCTTAATTAAAAACCACCAAAAAATATATATAAGATTATGAAATAAATATATATATAATAACTAAAATAAACTTTTAAATAAAAAATATCCCATTATAATTATAACCCAACATGACCCTACACATTGTAAATATTTTTGTATTTTTTATGGGACGGAGGACTTAAATGCCACCGCTTCAAAGAGAGGCACATTCCTTCGGGCCAAAAAATTAAAAAAGAGGTTTATTCTGACGGTGGTAACAGTGTTATAGCTCGCTTGTACTCGGCCCCTTTACCCAAAAACCCCCCATTGCTCCCTTAAAAGAAAAAAAAAAAAAAAGGAACCAATATAAGTAATATAGTTATTCAAAATACAACAAAAGGGTGCTCTCCCTAAAGATTTGCCATCCCTACAAAGCAATGATGGTTGACATGGTTAGGTCTTCAAGGGAGCCTTCTTCTCTCTGTCAGATATCCGGGCAGGGCCTGTTGTATGTGATTTGAACCGACCTCTCCCTCCTTCCTCTTTCTCCTGCAAAATCAAGTTCACCATTACTCCTTGATTTCCCTTCATTCAATCCACACTGCTGCTCCATTTTATTTCACACTCGTTTCTCTTGTGCAAATTGATCAGAAATCAACCCCAAAATACAAAAAGATATATCTAAGAAAACCGAGGCACACTTACAAAAACAAGTTACAATTACCTTTTTCTTGACAATCTGAACCACATCCTCATCTTGCAGGACATGTCCAAGGCCGCAATGCTGAGGGTAGTGCCTTGCACTTGTGCCCCACACAAGCACATATTTCAGATCCTTCACCAAAGTCCTATGTACATGGTTACAGACGTCTTCAACCGTGCAGCCACCTCTATCCTATTACATGCACAGAAAAATAGTAGAAAGGAAATAGGTTTAAAAAGAGCTACAGGAATCTCATTGCATAGATCTAATGTAGAAACGCGTGAATGATAGGAAAATATGTCACATACAGCAGAAAGAACAAAAGGATCAGTGAAGTCAGGTTGCTGTCCTTGTGGTTTTGTATATACTCTCACAAGTCCCATTTCTTCCCACATCTTTGCAAGCAGTCTATCTAGGTTCAGCTGTTCAAAGGAATAAAAGAGGTTAAAATTTCTCAAACCACAATATGAAATAGGAAAACTAATTACCATTGCATGTTTT